GTAAGTACTTTTGTTTAAAAAGTTAATTATTCTATTATTAAACTAGTATTATAATTTATTAAGTTTTATCAAATTCAAAATTATTTAATGAGCAAATTATAAAAACATAATTTTTATTTTACAAAAATTTATATGAAAATGATTTTAAGTGATTTTATATTTTGCTTTAATAGTTATACATCAAGCTGTAAACAAAAACAAAACAAAAAACATGTATAAAACAACAGTAAAACAATACTTCAAGAAAAATTCTTTAAAAACATTAAAATAATTCTGGAAAATAAATTTCCTAAATTAGAAAATATCTAAAATGTTTGGATTTTGAAATTATAATGGACATCTGATACTAAATAACAGCTAATACTAAATGACAGAAATAATAGCTTCTGGTGAAGGAATTACAAGAACTTGTTTAAATATTAGGCTTATATATTTTCAGGAGGGAAACAATGGATGGTGGAGGATTGAGTTGAAGGAGGTTGAATTGGCAATATTTTGAATAGCAATAGAGAAAAATAAATAGTTCGAACACTAAAATCAAAATACCATTCCATCTGAAATTGAAACCAATGACATCAATTAATCTTTTTAAAATCTTTTTCTTTTGTCTTTTATATAGATATGTCTTAGTTATTGTGTTAGCATTTTTACTTTGTGTTTTTGTATATTTGTGTTTTGTCTAAACCTGAATTATTTCTATTTAAACCTCAAGGCAAAAAAATTACCAAAAAACTTAATTTTAGAATTAATGGTGTAAAACTAAATATTATAGATAAAATAAAATATCTAGGCATATTTTTAGATGAAAATTTCATTTGTTCATTCAACAAATTAAATCTATAGCAAACAAACAAAGTCGAGCAAATGGAATTACCGAAATAAGGCATTTTTAGAATTATGAAACCCTTGTGAATATTTGGTATGCTATTTTTAAATCTCATCTACACTATGGTTGTCAGATAAGGGGACAAACTTCATCCATTTATAAAAAAAACCTTATAAACCTCCAGAATAAATCATTATGAATAATTCACTTTCAACCTAACAGTTTTAGTTCTGACATTCTATATAATCTTTATAAAATTTTAAAGCTTGATGAACTTATTTACTTATCAAACTGTGCACTTGTATGGAACATTGTCCACAATAATATGTCCAGTTGCTTCACTAGCTATTTTAAATTCACAAATGATATTCAACTTAGGTCTGTATCTTATTGTAGTCTCTCTAAGCTTTTAAAACAAACACATAAGTATGACATAAAGTCAATCAAGTATCAATCAATTCACTGATGGAACTCTCTTCCTATTAAAACTAAAAAAATATTATCCAAAATGACAAATAGAAGTGCCTTCATAACCGTGTAAAAAAACATTCACCCCCTAGATATTTAAAAAAAATAAAAGTATAAAACTCATAAATAAATATATAAAACTCATAAATAATCTTTTTAACTAAATTAGTTATTCTTTATAACTAAATTTTTAATAAAATAAAAGTCTAAAACTCATAAATATATAAAACTCATAAAATAGAAATAAAAATTTAAAACTATTAAAATGAAAATAAAAATATAAAACTCTAAAAGTAAAACATAAAAATATATAAATGTTCATTTAGTCGCATTCAAATACCCTAATTTTCATTATCCTATTAAGTGTATATGGCTCTAAAAGTTTGTGGCATTGTTATTAAACCATTTAACATGTAATAAATATACAATAAACTATTTTCTATTAAATTGCCCCTGCCTAATTTTCTTGAACCATTTTTTTTTTTTATTTTGTTTTTATATTTTTATTTTTTTCTTATTTTCTCAATTTTACTTTATTGCATATTCAATATTTCTATCTTCTAAAATTCTGTTACATAACAAAGCTCTCCTAGGACTTCTCCTACTTTGTCTCTTCTTTCCTAGTTGTTAAACTTCTATCCATCTTTTTTTCTTCTTTTTATCTGTTCTATTTTTTGTTATTTATATTATTATGATTCTTATATTTTTATTTTGCATTATTTTTAATGGTAATTACTATTTGCTACAAATGTTTTATGTTGATTATAGTAGTAAAATATATATAAATATACTGTTTTATATTACTGTCTTTAATATTATTATTAATATTATTATTATTAAAACTTATTATTATTATTATTATCAATATTTTTTATTATTATTTATTATTATTATTATGCTATTATTTATACCATTATAGGTCTTTACATGTCATCAGTTTATAACTGTTTATAAATGTCCCGCACGATTGTATATACATACAGTATTATTAAAGTGAAAATGTATTGGTTTGATTTGATTTGATGCAGTGTGAGCTCAGTTAAAAACTAGTGACTCTGACTATAAAACTTATGCTCAACTTAATCTTGTTAGATGTAATGATCCTAATGCTTTTCCAAAATATCCCCATTAATGTTTTAAAGTATGGCGTACAGGAAGTAACTTCTTTTTGATATTCCAGGTCAGGTTTAGATTTATTGCAATAACCCTGCTATTGGTAACATGTAACCCAGTACTACCTGTCCCATGCCTTGTAGAATTTGTTTTTTTAGACAAAGGTAAGGAAAAAACTCTAGCTTATAATCTTCTTAGTTGAATAAAGGTTTTAAGAATTTAAAGAATTTTAAATTCTTGACTCTACTCATATGTTTTTACTTGTGTTTCGCTGATAGTGGCTATGCAATTCTTCCTGTTATCTCGTAATTAGACTACAGTTCTACAACTCATTTTAATGGTTATGTGGCCAGTTGTTAGTAATGTTTCCCAAACTCTGTGGTAGCTCTCAGAGAAGCTGATTCCATCAACAGCTAAAAAATATCAGAGTATTAACAATCTTATGTTGTCCATGGATAGTGTTCCTGTTATTGCTTTTGGTGTGCATTGTGAAAGCTATATAAAGAGCCCCAGATTATAACTTTGGGTTAATTAACGGGACTAAGGCAACTGCATTACTTATTCCTCAGGATGTTGCGCTCTATTTACAATTTTATTTTAAATTTAATTTATAATTTTGCCCAAAGTAAACCAAAATATTAAACATTAAAAATCTCCACCATCTGTTTCAATATATATTTCACAAATACTTCTGGTCTTCAAAGTTTCCATCAGTTGAATCTTTACTCTTACAAAATTCACTAGACTTGTTTTCCCTTTGTGAAGTTAATTTAAATTTGGCTTTTCTTTTTTCAGATCTCGTTATTGATGAGTGCTATCCTTTGATTTGCAAAGACTTCATTAGTCACATGCTTGGCTTGGTTGTATACTTACACATCAATTCACCTATTTGTCATGAAATCAGGTTTGAATCCTCTGGCCATTCTTTTTTGTGCTTCTGCTTAGCATCTCTTTACTCTATCACCTTTCTCTTTGATCTTAATTGTTTTTTTCTTCTCAAGATTGCACTCTTTTAGATGTTATTTCTGATAAAGTTGACCATATCTTTTTCTTTGCTTTTTTGCCAATATTGTTGTTGTATTGGTGACTTGAATGCTTATCACACTGAATGGCTTGGCTCTAAAATAGAACATAAAGTTTTTAGAATAAATAGAACATAAAGTTTTTAGAATAAATAGAACATAAAGTTTTTAGAATAAATAGAACATAAAGTTTTTAGAATAAATAGAACATAAAGTTTTTAGAATATTTTGTTGATAATTACTCTTGATACTCTCTAATAATTTTGTTCTGTAAAATGCATAGTGAAATTTGTCAGCTTTTACTGTTAAAATAGTTCAAACCTTCCTCAAATTTCCAATAAACCTGCAGGATGAACAATTTAAGCTCAATTTAAATAATTTCAAGCTTCATTTTATCAAATATAATCTGAAACCCATGTTTTTTATAGTTTTTATTTAATATAAACATTTTAAGATAAATTTAAAGCCAAAAAAACTTTACTTAAGCTAATATGAACAGATTCAGGAATAGATCAAGTCAGAAAAAATTGCAAAAAAATTAGTGTTTTTAAATGTTGTTGGTGTCTGGAAACTAAATCTGTAAGCCAAATTCAATATGCTATGACAAAAATCAAGGATAAGTTATTCACTTTTCCTATTCTTTAAAAAATATATTTATTTAAATAGTATTAGTTAACTTGGAATAATAAAATTATTTCAATAAAAAAAATTGTTTTTATATAATCATATAAGATCTAAGAAAAATTAAGTATTGGACTAATGTAGGTGAAACTCCATCCTCAGGGCCACAATATATTTACCAATGATGTTTTGGAGAGCCTGTTAAAAAATGGCTAGGATTGCTTGCCGGGGATGCATCCTTGCTATCTTTATCATTGCCTATAGCCTACATCATATTAGTCATTATTGCAATAAAATAAACCTCATTACAGAAAAGCAAAACACTCACAGCCTCTCCCAAATTTAAGCAACACCAATAGTATTTAGAAAAAATTGTGGATATAGAGACAAAAATGAACAAAAAATATACCCAGCAAATATAAATATATAAACAATAATGTATAGTATAAGCAGATACACATTAGGATGTAAAGACCATATAATACTATATAATTTACTTTCTAATAAATAAAAAAAATGAAAAGATAGATAAGTATCTTACCATGTTCGATAAGTCAATAAAGTTTTTTTAAGGTTAATAATTAGTTATGCTAGCATGAAAGATGTGCATCTAAAAACAAAAGAAAAACAATAAAATCTTGATTGAAGACATTACAGTGCTAACAATAACAAAGTGACTTATCCACGTCAAACAAAGAATTGTATAGTTTAATTGTTGTTTAAAGAACTCTACTCCGATTAAAATAATTAGATAATTTAATTGCTATATAGGGTTAAGCCTATAAAATGATTGTAACGTGCTAAGGGGATATATCTACCATAATGTATTATAATATGTAAATATTTAAATATTGTACAAGATATAAAAAAAAGAAAGATAGATATGGATGTGTGACAAACTCAAAAGATGACATAAAAAATGAACAGAATTTTTAAAAAAAATTTTTAAC